GTCGCCAGCAACTCACGGGCAGCCCAGCTCCAGGTTGAGCTGTTGTTCACCATCTTATCTGTAGAGGGCGCAGCATCACTGGCCCTCATGTGGGATCCAAACCGGGGCCCTGCTGCTCAGAGCTGGAGTCCCAAGCCAGCTCTTAACCAACGTGCCACTCAGCCGGCTCCATGCATTCTTTATCCTTTAAAAAAATATGTATTGAGTGCTTTCCATGTGCCATGGCCTGTTCCTGCCCAGGGCTGAAGTCAAGACACCCATGGGGGTAGGGACTGTGTCTATCTTATTTATGTTTCCCCAGCACCCAACCGAGAGCCTGGCACACAGAAGGTATTTTAAAAAAACATTTGCTATTAACAATATTATCACTGTTATGGGAATGATTATCTCAGTACACCCCTTAGCCACAGCCCAGAGGGAGGCAGGGAGGGCATGAGAGGGCCTAGAAGGGGGAGGACTTCAGCTCCTGCTGCTTTGGAGGCCACACCCAGTGGCCCTGTCCTTCAGGGAAGGCCCCAGTGGCTCAGGGCACTATGCCCAGGTGCTTTGTGCATGGCCAGGCCTGTCCAAGGTCAGGAGAAACCACAGTGCTGTTTCCGCAATGGGTTGGCAGGTTTCAGCAGGAGCAGATGCCCTTGGGAGATGACCTTGGAGTTGAGCCTAGAGGGAGGCAGAAGGAAGGGCTGGGACAGGAACAAACTCAAGTTGAGAGTGAGGCCAACCCAGAGAACACCCAGAGGTATTAGCATCCCTGGGAGGAGGGGTAGGGTGAAGATGAGGGAGCAGCGCATGAGGATACCTTCCTGTGAGGTGCTAGGGGCTGGCCAGATAGCTCAGACCCTGACCTTCCCCACCCTGACCCAGTGACCAAAGGTCTCTGGGTGGAGTTGGCCTCATTCAGGCTCAGCTCCTAGGAGCAATATATCCCCCTTTGAAGGCCCAGCTCCCTCCTCCTGACCAATCGCCTAGATTCCAAGGGGATTGGAATCTTTGATTGGCATCCCTTCTTCATGGGATGCCCAGTCCAATCCAGGGACCCAGAGGGCAGCCCAAGAAGAACCTGAGAAACCCCCGTTTCAATGTGGCCTGACTAGCCCATTTCCAGGTCCCATGGCCTCTGGCTACCCAGGGCTCTGCTGTCCAAGAGGCCTGCTGGTCAAGGCTAAGAGTCTGTGAGTGTGTAAGATGAAGAGAACAGCAGTCTGGGACAGAGCTGGATGGGGCATTGCTGTGAGGGCCTTCTGCGTGGCTA